TTTTTTTGGATTATTATTAAAATTATGTTTATCATAACCTGAACTAATTATTTTATCAATAGGAAATCCATGCAAACGAAAGTTTTCTAATCGATGTTCAATAAATTGAGCAGGCATTGCTGTAACACAAACTAGTTCATAGCCAGCTTGATGTAATAAATGACATGCTTCAACTGCTCCATCATGCGTTGGCATTTTTCTCCAACCATGTTCATCCCATATTCTTTCAAATTCAACTTTTTCTTCATCAGTAAATTTAACACCATACATATCTCTGGCCTATTAATCATATTATAAATGAAATTTTCAATAAATACAATTAAACTTACATGATAAGATTTAGGTGAAACAATAGTTAATTGTTTTCCGAATACTTGTTCATAAATTTGTGCAAAAGTTGTATGATAATCCAATAGAACTCCATCACAATCAAGAGCTATGATTGGTTTTTTATTTGTACTTGTAAACAATATTGTATCTTTTGTCATTTTTAAATATCAATAACAGAATTCAATCAAGTATTTATACATCATTCAGTTCCTGCCACATCATACGATTTCGTGACGAAATTTTTTCTTCTATTTGTAAATCTTGCGCAATTACAGATGCACATTGCCATTCAAATATTGCCGCAAGAAATAAATAACAGCTGGTTTTATTTATCCTATTCGTCATCGTGTTTACGGCGAAAACTAAAAGAAAATTTTTTTTTTCTGCGATCTACGTCATTGAATGTTATTAAGTAATATTTGAGAAACTATTCTGACTAGAATTAAACATTCTACAATGCTGAAATAATTGACGCAACTTCGACCTATCCTTCTCCGTTTAAGAGCATCGTAGCAAATTTATTTTTTTTTCTCATTGAGAACAGCAGTGGACAATGTGATCAATCGAAGAGGAAATTATTCCTGTGTTTATGCAGAAATGGGTCACTTCAGATAAAGCCATACATGTCGAGGAGAAATGAAAAGAAAAATGAACTTAAACATATATCTACCAACTATTATTTCATGCACTATATTGTATTTTTAACTTCTAATTATCATGGTAGTAATGGATGAATAAGTTCTTGTTCAATAATTTACATTTCTGTTGGAAAAAAATCTATTTTCGACTAGCATTTCTCCATAGAGTGAAATAGTTAGATGATCGAAAATCCATAAAGAAACCTTCCCTTTTCTCCTTAAAGAAATTTGTTTATTTCGATTTCGAGGTTTTCATTTCTAACAATCTATTGAAGTGTTCTCTATCAGAGTGCCATGAAAATCACAACTATGGGAAGTAAAACTTTATGTTTTTTTATGTAGCAATCTAGTTAGTACCATTGAAAATAAACGCGTCTCTTTACGATGCTTCCAGTATTTTGCTTCTCCTCATCTCAAGGAACAATATTTTTCAAATAAAAAAAAAACCACACAATCGATCTGATCCTACTTATCATAAAAAAATTACAGTTTGAAGAGATCTAGAAGAGAATTTTGCAGAAGAAACATTAGCAACCATTAGCTTCATGATCTTGTTGACTTCTACTTATGAAAGTAAAAATGGATGAAGGATTTGTTTGTCTCTCGTGAGTGTCCGATTTACTCGATTGTGAACGATTTGATATAAGAGATACTGTTTAAAAAAAAACAGTGTTTCTGCTTGACTTTTTTCTAGAACGGAGCATTTCTGCGGTGTGGGTGTGGGTTTGAGTATGCATCTTCTCTCTAACTACAACCACACCCACACTTAACTGAAGAAGCGAAAGATTGATAGTTCACATTGTATTATTATGTAAATAGTAATAATTATCTATAATTTCGATTGAGTATATCTGTTTTTACTCTCGCAAAATAATATATTCATATAATATTAAAATGTTAGGTGTTAAAGTACTCGAGAGTATCTTTGTTGAAGTCAGTGATTATGTCTTATAAAATATTGGTTTAACAATCGAAATGATGGTTGCACTAGGAATACACGTGCTCTTGTCCAAAAAAATTGAACGAACAGGTACCAAAGTAAAAAAACATAGATAATAGCTACGTTCATTTCGGCTTGTTCTTTAGTAATTTTATTTAGTATGCTCAATCGATGTTCGTCACAGCTCAATGTTAATGCAAATACATCATTATCTCTTTTAACTCTTCTCATATAAGGATTATAGAGCGTCTATAATCTCTAGTCCAATTGTATGTAGAAGAACTATTATTATATCGACCCCCAGCGTATTCATACAGTACAGGTAATATATCTCGGAAGTGAATACCGAAAGCTACTTTGTCATAATATGTCGTTATTCAAATACGGTGAATACGAGACAGATATGCTTTATTGTCGAGTACATTCGAATGAATCAACTTTGATCTTTTCGCACGCTTGATCATTGTCTAATATTTCATTGAGTTTGTGCAAGAGAGTGCCATATTTTTTTTGTGCTTGTACCCGACTAGACACACTACAACAATAAAATGCCTCCTTTTCCCTCTACTTTTTACGTTTTTATCTACTTGAAGCAGCTTACAGGTTGTCTCGCTCATTCTCTTTCTGTTTTATACAGTAGATACCAGAAAAAAGAAGAAGACGCAACAAGATAGGTTATCTCTGCATGGAAACTTAAATTTTCTGAATCAATTCGATCAAATTCATGCCTCAACGAGACATCTGATAAATGCATCACCAATTAGTATGTGCTACACTTCGTAGTAAAAATTTGATTTTTCGGGGAATAAAAACTTGTCATTATTTCGGCGAAATCAATAGTCAAGTAATCTGATACATGAAAGAGTACCCATCATCGCTTCATGCTATCTCTGTAGATCAAAATCAAATAGTGATGCAAGAATACTAACCGAGATAAAATAAAAATGAAGTGAGAGATTATTTTTCTATTTCGATTTCGAAGAAAAGAAAGCTTTAATTAGAAATAACGAACAATTAATCTTTCGATGTATGAAAACCTCACCATCCATCGATACGAGAGGAGGATTAAAAGAAATGGAACACCGTTGTTTTTCGACCACTCCTTTCTCTCTACTCTAGAATAAATACTCATCAAAGAAATGTCTCTTTGACAGCATGAAATTGTATCTGCATTTTTTGGAAAGTACCTAATATTAAGTAAGGAACTCCAGGAATATGTAGGCCTTTCTTATTTCAGTGAAATAATGCTCGAAATATTTTCTCACTCATACGTATATCACCAAAATTTATTACGCATGTACTCATCGTCATCGTTCAGCCAACTCGCATATGATCATTGTTTAGCATGTGAGTAGAATAATCTAAATTTTCGTTTCACTAGGTATTGATCAAGCTATTTATTATGGATCATACAGAAGATTAAGCTGTTTCTATTTCACTTGTAGAGTAGCAACCAGCTTCCAACGAATGTAAACTGCGACTGCCTTCCAATGGTAAACCGTGAAAACGAGAGTTTGTATGACTTCGTATGGGCTGGCTGTCCAGTTTTACAAGATTGCCCGAAGAGTAAGGTTTTTTTGTCTTGAGTCGAGTATGGCCTGCATGTTGAACAACCGGTGTAAGATTTCATAATCACTCGGGTATCCAGTGTCATTAGGCAAATCTAAAGATTGTTGGTAGTGGACAAAACGATTATTATACGATCTATTATTCTACATTTAATTTTTTTACGGAGTATATTATATACAGCTGAAAGCAATGAGACAAAAATTCCGCATATTTAGTATATTCGGATGCACTAGATGAATATCGAGATATGATTTCAATTAAAATTCAACAAGATTTATCCAAAAATTCAGAATTTTTTTCGAAATCTGCTTCGAACCATTCATATATAATACAAGATGTTTTCCAGGAGCAAATCATTCGGACATTCGCAGCTCTGCAGAGCTCTCGTTAGATATTTTGCTCGACTTTCAGTATTTTAGAAGCATATGGAAAATATGAACGAATAAATCAAACATTTTATTCAAAATGTTAACACTTGAAACATTCTGCGATGACAGTTTGTGAAAGACAAACTATGCTATATTCGATTAAAGAGAAGAAATAGCTTCTCTTCTCTGATTCGAGCGAATTACTTCCACGTCTGAAATATGTTGTTGTGTGTTTACTGTCTTTGAAATTCTGAATTTTTTCAATATTTAAAAAAAAACATCTGTAAATTTCTCTTCTGGTTCCGATTTGCAACATCTTCCTCTTGCATATATCTCTTGTGTGCATTCGTATGTACTGTAACACAAGATTTTTCTTGAAACTTTCTAATGTTAAGGCAGATACTTTTGGTTTGTCTTTCTTTAAAAGTATTGCACATAAGAAAATCAATCATTTCGTTCTTCATTCCTGATGACCGCGTTAGTTTAAAATTCAATTTGAATATTTCCTCTCTCTCTCTCGTGTGTACTATCCAGCATACCATAGATCTAATTTTGAATATATATTCTTTTCTTTTCAGATGGTATTTTTCGGCATTGTTATTATTCTGTTAGTATCAGTAGTTAGAACAGTTACAAGTGTAAACTGTTATGAGTGTACTGATTATATTTCATGCGGAATCAATGATCAGAATCCGATTGTTACTAATTGTCCTGTATGCATGGTCTATCGAAATCAATATGATGCTAGTACGTATTTATCAAAGAATTTTAGTATGATCTTTTTTTTTTTCTAATATGCTTTTAGATCGGATTATACGTCGATGTTGTTGGTATGACTGTGGTGTCGACAATTCAATTAAGATCTACGAGGGACGATGAACTTATTTTTGTACATCGCATTTGTGCAACAGGCAAGGTTCAGAAAATGCACTCGTCGGCAATTCAGGTGCTATCATCATAAAATTTCTCTGACACATATTACACATCTATATGTGACATGTTAAACATTTCATATTCTCTGTTTCAGAATCTACGTGCAATGATCATGTGAAGAATCAAAATGAAACTGACATTGATTGTGGTGGGCTATGTGCACCAGAACAAAAATGTGCTGATCATAAGGGTTGCAATGTCGCATCGGACTGTACCAGCGGTATCTGCACATCAAACATTTGCCAAGGTAAGTATGTGATAGAGTTCTGCAAAAATGGAGTAAAGTGTGCTCCTGTCATCGTAGAATGAAAGAACATCTAAAGTAACGCTGTTATTTCAAAATCTCAATTTCAGTTCCTACCTGCAGTGACAATGTAAAGAATCAAAATGAAACTGATGTAGACTGTGGTGGACCATGTGCATCGGTTAACAAATGCACTTATCTACAAAGCTGCCATATTCCGTCTGATTGTAATAGTGGCATCTGCGTACAAAATATTTGTAAAGGCGAGTACTTGTTCATTTCATTTTCCGAAAGTGATCAAACGGAAAGTAAACGCTTATGACACGACTTTGGTCAAGATAAGAATCATTCTTTATTCCTATCCTATTGTAGTGGATCCTATTATCGATGGACATGCGTCTGACAAATTTTACGGAAGAAGTTTCATACGCGAGGCAGTATTTCTCACTTAAGAACAACATTGGAAGAGAGAGCAATGGAGACGAAACAACTACTAGCACACGAGAAATAGCACGACGTTACTTTTTATTATGATGAGGACGACAAATATCTAGCGCTTTTCAGAGATTTTAGACGTTGTTTACTATCCCCATCTCTCTCTCTCTTTTGTATAAGCGTCGATATGATTGAGAAGAAGCAGTATCCGGTGCCAGACACGCATAGCAAGAGAATAATCTAAGAAATGACGTTAAAGACTTGCTGTAAACATTAGACTTCATTATTTTTAAAGTTTACTATTTATTTATCTTTCGTGTTCGGCTTTTTCACTAAACATTCTCGATTTATCCAAAATGTCAATCTTGGAACATCCATATATAATATTGTATAGCACAATATCTTTTACACCTATTTGCTCTGATGTGCATGAAACTGTGTGTTGGATTCTATCTTAAAACGATTTTGTCCTATCCTACAGCGATATCTTTTCCACTTTCATTTTGGCTGTACTAGGGTTACAAAAAACGGACAATTTACCTCTTTTGTTTTGTTTAACTTCTATAAATCTCATGTTTATATAGGCTTTGTAGCTCCAGTGCTACTTATTACCAACAGTGAATTACCCATTGGTGTTTATAATACAATTTCGGGTGGCGATAGCACTTTAGCAACACCCGGTACTGAAATAGGTCAGTATCCCGCAAACCCAAACATGGAGACGCCAGCTCAAGCATTCGATGGTAATGTAAATACCAAGTATACAAGTTTTGGCCGATGCAGGCTTAACAATTGCAGGAGTGGTTCGGCTTCTAATAATTGTGGCTTAAATACTGGTCTCTATCTAACACTACAACGAGGTGCAACATTGGTCGTAGGCCTACAACTAAGCACAGGAAATGATTATCCACAACGTGATCCACTTATGATAACGTTAGAAGGGAGTAATCAGTCTGGCACAAATCTTACTCTCGGCTCGAGTTGGACTCTCATCTATAGTGGTACGAGTGGTCTTGCCACTGATCCAGGTAGAAAAAAGCCTGGATCAATAGTGTTTTTTTCTAACTCGTTGCAGTACACAAGTTATCGATTTCTTATTGCTGCAAGTCGTGCTCCTGACTGCTCTGTTCAATATTCTGAATTAAAACTATTCGGCTTTTAACTTTTTGCTTTTTGGCATCTTGTGTTTCATTGTTAGCGGTTCAGACAGAGATATATATTGAAATAAAAATATCATTATCTGCGTCCGTCTTGTTATTCGATTCATGTGTGAGTTTCAGGATAACAAGGAGTAGATGATTGAGAAAAATGAGTTGTTTTTTATGCATGATGCTGAGTTCGAGCTTGTTAATGTCTGTGAAGGATGATTGTTTAATGAAAGTAAAACTGTATACTATGGATAGATCATTCGTTCATTGGAAGTAATACTTTTGGATATGTGTAGTTAAGATAGAGAACATTTAATGTTTGTTAATTGATGAGAACAACAAGATCAATGACATAGTATTTATACTGATTATTTTTTGGATGTAAATGAATTAGATAATATAATTAAAGTATACTAAAGTAATAACCGTAGCACTATCTCTCTCTCTATATATATATATGTACTGATAGTCCAAACAATGTCCTATAATTTTATAATATTTCATTATTCTTCATTTGCTATGATAATTTTAGAGTTTCAATTATAGCTGAGTCAACTTTGATTTTATTGCAAAAGGAAAACTTTTGCTTCTGTATTTAAGTCAGCACTGCACTACTATCTGGAGCATCGGTTATCAAACAACATCTGAAAAAATGGAGCAGATCGATTGCCTTACAAAAGATAATCCTCATATTACAATTGACAAATTTCAAGCACAAACTAATCTGAACCATGGCATCATACAACGAATAATTTCCGATCATTCTAAATTTAAAAAGATTGCGATTCATTAGCTATCTCAACAGCTGATATTGTTGACGATCATGAAATATATGGTCTGAATTAGAAATCTAGAAGACTGTTCTTCATCTTCAACATCTTTTCGACCTTCACAAAACTATTTATATCATCTTTCAACTATTCGAAGAAGTAAAGTATGATCACCGACAATAAAACATATTTTATCATGCCTTGATTCTCGCTTGAATATTAATTTCTATGGCAAAATTTTAACAATCAGAGAAAATGTAACCAGTATGGCTATCGACTGCAAACTTATTGAAAGATATTTTTTAATAGATAATTATGGGCTTATTGAAACTATTACTATAGAAAATAAAACGATGAAATTCAATATAAGAGAAATATACATAAAAATTTATCAAATATCCGTAGAAAAACAATATTATATGGTGAATAAATGACGCTTTAAATCATGAGATTATATGTAAAGTAACAATAACATACTCTTATTTTGAACATGATAATGCCTTAAAATGAGTGTTTTATTCCATAATCTATTCATTGATTACATTAAAATCGATTGTATATATCACGTCTTCTATTAGCTTTTCATGCTGTAAATGTTTTTCTGAATCATCTTTGATTATAATATATATAATGAAATTATTTCAACAATTGCAGTTTTTCAATGAAATCTAATCAAATATTAACAATGTGCGTAATCAAAACTCAGAAAATTTCTTTATTTAATTAACATATCGAGCATGAAATGATTGTGCAGAAAAAAAGAGAAGTGTGTTAATAACGATCTTTTGAATAAAAGCGTTTGATTACTTTATTCTAGATGTTTTTATTACATTGAAACTCAGAATTAAATTCTGTGTCTTGAATCGCATTCATTTACTGGCACTGCAATAATTTCTTATTGTGGAATTAATACTTCAAAAATGCGATAGGTTATGTCAAATTTTTTTCTGCTAAATATCTCAGTGGTAAAGCATCGAAAACTTTCTTATTTTCACTAACTAATAAAACATGATACATGCACATAGTTTATTCATTTTCTTTGCTATTTTTCTTTTCATCACAATTCACTATACTATTTTTATTTTTAATTATCCGTTTATATTTATTTCCTTCCGTGTGTGTGTGGGCTAATGCTTTATTATATAAAATATTAACGTGATTACAGGAAGTAAGAGTCTTAGTCTTAACTTTCAATCTTTTTGAGCAAACATAGTTCACATAAATAAATGTAGAGTTCTATTATAATCCGTATTATAGAATAAGCTCATTGACAAAAAAAAAAGAGTCATTTAGATAATATAAGTAACATTTGCATTCGAATGAATTCATTGTAAAAGATTGATGTTTGGTCGACTATAAGATAGATTATCAAAAAATTGAGTATCTTCCATATGCATTCTCAGCTATATCGACATTGGATTTATATATATATATATATATTTTTCCTAAAGATATGCGTGACTATTAAATAATTTGTTGTAATAAAGAAGAATTTATTTTTATTTATGTTTGCATGTCAACCAGTATTTCTTTTGTCAGACACAACATTATATAATCTAATTTGATGTCAGAGATGATTATCTATATAAGATCAATAAAATAATTGTGAAAGTAAAGTATTAGATTTACTAAAAGTATTTCGTATGTAATGATAATATTCATATGAATTCTAATAATCAATTAATAATAAAATATTATTAAGATTGAAAATTCTTGACATAAGAATAAAGATTCTTATAAATAATGTAGATATAAATATAATTGTTTTGTTTGACTTGAAATAAAAAGTTCAAGTAATAAAATGAAAGATTAAATTGTTATTGTTTTATATTTTTAGAAGATATATTATTTCAATGTTTGAAAAATATTGAAACAAAAAAGAATATCAATGAAAAAAAAAAGTTTAAAATGAAAATGTCAATAATAAGGTAGTCCAAAATATTCATTGATCGAATTATATTCAAATTTTGGTTGTGGTGTTGTTTTAGCAAGTTGTTGAATTTCTCTTGTTGGATATAACCAACTTTTTAAATCAGATTTTTGACCAAGACTTTCAATAGCATATGCACTTGCTTGTACCATTTTATCAAGAGCAAATTTATTGATATTAGTCGTTTTATCACATGATTGATGATAACATTTATCTTGTCGAATTCCTGAAATTCCACCCATACCTGCTCCAAGCATAATATCGTATCGATTACGTTGTTCTGCTGTTTTTAATCCATCTGCACCGGTAAAAAGTCCACCTGCAACTATTCCAGCAGCTAAAAATGGTCCATAATCACTACGACCATCAAAATTCGTATAATCATAAGGATATTTATTTCCAACAAACCAATCTTGAAATAATGTTGTCATTTTATTACTTCCTGGTTTTGCAACTGCTGGAGTTGTACTTGTAGCTGTTTTACCATCATAAATACCGAATATAAAATTTGGTGATCCTATCATATCTAAATTAATATTAACCAAATAATCTGTTATTCGTTCACCAATAACAGTTGATTTTTTTGCTTCTGATACATGATAATTGGCACCAAGAAGACCTAATTCTTCAGCACCCCACCAACAAAATCGAATACGATATTTATATGGTACATAACCTGGTGTTTGTAAAAGACGTGATAATGTCGTAGCTAAAGCAATATTAGCTGCAGTACCACTGCCTATGAAAATAATAAATAAAGATAAATTTTTTTTTTTTTTTGAATATAAAATATTTTAATTGAACATACCATTATCATTAATACCTGATCCAGCTGTAACACTATCACTATGACTACCAATAACAATTGTTTGAGTTGGATCACCTGTTAATGTATCAGCACAAATATTTCCAACAGGATTTAATGCACTATCAGTTACAATAGTAAGACGAACAGTTGTTACTTTTGATGGATTATTTGCAGCATTAGCAAGTGTTTGACCAACATTATATGAAAGAAAAAGTGCTGGTACACGATTATTTTGACCAAGATTTATATAAATAGGTTGCATATTATTAGATGTTATACCATCATTATAAATTAATAATGCAGCAACATTGTATTTACTTGCAAGAAGAGCTTTTGTTTCAAAAGCGCAATCACCTCGTTTAACAAGTGCTACAATACCAGCAGGAGATGGACTTGCTGTAATCCAATCATTATCTGAACAACCTAAATTAGGAATAACTGTAAGAGGAAGATTGGTAGTTATATTAATTGATGTTGAATATTGAACATGATAAAAATCTGCTAATGAAAGACTAGTTGAATACGTATATGTTTTAACAACTCCATCAATTGTTGATGAAAATGTTGGATTACGAAGAAGTTGAAAATTTCGTAAATTAAAAAAACTTTTTGTTACTTTTAAATTTGTATTTAATGAAAGATAATTTGTTATATAATCAAGTGTACGATTAAAACCAACTGTTTTAACAGCTCGATTTCCATTTGAAATTGTTGCAATATTTTGTAATTCATCAAGATGTTTCATAATATCATCAATATTCATTGATGATTCATATCGAAGATTAGATAATTGTTTTGAATTATCAATTTCATCTTTATTGATTGTCATTCCCGTTACCCTTGGAATTAAATTCATAGATGTTGACAGAATTCCAATGAACAATATTGTTCGAATCATTATCCAAGTACAACGGAAATGAATTGACATAAACATTCAAAACTTAGATCGAATATAGACAAATACCTTTCATTCAGAGGTTTATAAAGACGATGATAAATAATTTATTACAATTTTTATTCGTTTTTTTTTTTATCATTTTGATTTATTTGAATTTTTATTTTTATGATTATTACAAGTGAAAAACAATCGTTAAAATTTAAGTTCGACAATAAAATGTCACATGCCTAATGTCTTTGATAATAAAACAACAAGATTATTTTTTATTCTTTTTTTGTTTTTTATCTATGTTTTTCAAAATATGTCAAGTTTTTGTTATTTTTTTATTTATTTTATAATTGAAATAAAACGAAAAGAAGTTTTGAATCTTAAAAGAATATTATGAATTATTAATTTATCGTTAAGCTTTATAAATAGACTTTGTTGATGATGGTTTCTTTTTTTTTCCATATTGGATCAACTTGCTTATTATCATATAATAATAAAAAAACAAAAATATTCATCGAGAAAAAGCCTTCAAACAAAATAATAAAGTAATATATAAAAATTATAAAATTCAATAATAAATATTTTTAGTTTTATTTCTAAATGAATTCAAATGAAAATTCTATAACATAAATTTATCAATAAGATTGAATACTAATAATCAAAAAAATTAATTCTATTCATTTTTATCTATTTAATTAAATTTTATTTCTAAAAATTGACACACACGAAAAAAGAAAAAGAAAACAAAGCGAGATTTTCTCATTAAAATGATTAGTTTATTAATTAAGAATAAGTGTAAAAATGACAAAAATTATAATTTCAAATTTTTTTTGTCTTTAAGAAATTCTTGTGTAGAAATTGTTTTAGCATAAGCAAAATCAAGTGCAGACATAAAAGCAGCATGTACATGTTCAGCTGGAACTGTTATACCATTAAATTGAAGTTCACGAGATGCACAAGCATCATGAATAAGAATACAATTATATCCAAAATCATGAGCAGCACGAGTGATTGCATCAATACACATATGACTCATTGCACCACATATAACAATATTTCGAATTTCATTACGATCAAGAATATCTTTAAGTTTTGTTTCTCGGAATGCATTTATATGATTTTTAACAATAACATGTTCATCTTCACGATTTTGTACTTTTGAATGAATTTGAACACCATTTGATCCTTTTGCAAAAAATGGAGCATCATTTGTTGGAAATTCATGACGAATATGAATAATTAAATCATCAGAAGCACGTGCTGATGATATTAATCGAGCTGCATTATCAGCAGCAGCATTAATACCATTAAGAACCCATTTACCACCAGGAAAATAATCATTTTGTATATCGACTATAATCAATGCTTGCTTGGATTTTTGTTCGTTATCAATTAATGGTTTATTTATATCTTCTGGTGTTAAATGAGCTAAATCTTCGATTTCAGCAGAACGATGAAGATGAGGTTGATCAACCATTTTTATTTTCAAAATCTGCCTTTATTATTCACGATCAATTTTTTAATACTAGTAATATGTATGTATGCATGCACTTTTGTTTATAGAGAAACACCAATAATCTTCCACGCTCCGACTAATATCATTTAATAGTGACATCTTTTTTGTTCCTTCAATAACAATAACTGATCCAACTACTATAATAGAAAATATTTATGTCAATCAATCGTGAAAACATGTCAATTTAATAAACAATTAACACATCAAAAAAGAAATTTTTTTCTATTGGATAGATATACAAAATTTTTCGTTTTAAATTAACAAATTCAACAGAAATATTATATGAAAATAAATGTAAAATCAACTGATTATATTTAATAATTTTCTTTTCAAGACATAATACTTTCATTTGCTAGTAAACTTCGTATACTTTTCTTAAATATGATAATTATAAAAATGTCTGTTCTCTATACTTTGAAATACGAATAATATATGTTCAAATAAATCAAATATTGGACTATATTTTTTTTAGAAAATAATCAACAATAAAAAATAATTAGTGTTCTATTATTAATATCCGACTGACATGTTCTATATTTGATGCATTTTTTGTTTTTACATTTGTTTCAAGTTCTATTGTTAATTTTACTAAATAGAAAATATAATTCTCAAAAAAAAAAACAGACAATTTTGTCTTTGAAATAGATTTATTCCTGTAAATGTAAACATCATTCGATGAATAATTATTGCATTATCTAACAACAATTTTCTATTGTTGTATTAATAAAAATTGATATAAATCAAGTATGTTCTTCTCAAGGCCAATGCTAAAAGTAAAATAATATGTTTATGTTAATTAAAAGACGCCTCTCTTTTCAATGTTTTTAAATTTTCTATTTGAAAATCTTCTTCATTAAATATATTTGTTCTAAAACTTTGAAAACTATAATCAAATTCATAGAACAGTTTGAAATAAGTACTAGAATAAAATAGGATTGTTATATATAGGTCAAAGATAAAAAGGAAAAACGATTGGTTCTTTATGTAACATCCATTAATATTCTTGATGAAATAGCATATGGATATGTTTTTTCTATCATCTGTTTCATTAACTATTCAATTATATCATTCTAATATTCCTTTGAAGTTATAGAATATGATAAATGAGTCAGAAAAAACAAAGAGAAGAAATAATAACTGTATAAATGATCAAATTAAAAAAAAAAACTTGGAAAATTTTTTTTATGCAAAGTTTTTTCTTTTTTTTGAAAAAAAAAATAAAGAAAAAAAAAATCATTTTAATCGACGTCGACGAATAAAAAAGAGTTCTGAGTTATTATAGACTCCATAGTATTTAATTCGTCGATTATCATTAATTAATTGTTGATGATCATAAGTAGCTAATACATATCTTTTCCAAATACTTTTCCAATTGATTTTCTTATTTGAAAATAAATCTTTAATAGCTCTTTTTAATTGATATACACGAGCTTCTTCTGATAGATAAACATTAATTAATGAATTATCAAATCGTCGAATAGATATATTTATAAGTTGTCCTTGTTCAAGTTGATTTAATTTAGAAAAAGAAATTTTTGAAGGATGACATTTTATATCAGATAATAATGGATCAGTGGATAGGATTTTTGATAAACGAGAATATATATTTGAAATAAATTCTTCATGAGACATTTTGTTTTTGTATTTATTTATTTATTTTGTTTGAGCTGAATCATAAGATATTTTATCAATTTGTTCTTGTAATTTTTCTTTAATCATTGGTACAGCTGATGTTTGAACAAATAAATGTTGTTCATCTAAATTATGTAAAATAAATTTTTCTCCAAAAGCTAATGTTTCATCTAAATAAACTAAATATTGTTTTACAGCTGGATCACATTTAATTAATGAACCTTTTACCACATTAACCATATCTAAAATATAAGATTTTACTAAAATTGTTTTTTTTTTTCTTTCTAAAATCATATCGTTGATTTTATTAATAAAACAGTGGATGAAAAGGTAATTTGAAAATTTTATAAATATTTTTAATTATCTATGGAATCGATCAATTGAAGTACTCTATTCGAGAAATAAACGAAATCTATTTGCTTCGATGTGTTTCTCAATTGAGTAACAGATCAGGTGTTTTTTACTATATCTATGAAATCTTAAGAGTCAGCTATCTTAATCAGTTTACTGTATATAACTACATCATTTATAGAAAGATTGATATGAAAAATAAGAGAGTATTCGTTATGACATATAAATCTAATATATTATATTTTATTGTTTTAAGATTTATCTGAAAGATAATTTAATTCGTAGATATCGTGAAATTCAAATCAATCTGCAGAGATTCGATAAAGACTTAGCAAAGTCATAGTTCAACAAATTTATATACAGTTAAAAAGATCATTCGACAGCGGATACTAAGTAGATTAATAAAAAAATATCTTAAATTAGTCGTTACTTTTTTTCCATTAGGAGAGAAAAATTCGACAGATGCCGATGAAACGTTATAAGAAAATTATTTTCATCATAATGGCGCATTATCTTAAATAAAAACAGAATTCTCGAAAATTATACGATCATTATATAGATAAACAGAAACTAGTAAAGGAGTAGCAGTGACTATTCATTTTTCTTTAAATCATCATTTGTAATGAAATATATAAACTAGACAACGAACACAAGAGATTGATCTATTGATTCATCAATCACAGTATGGAAAAGAAATACATGAATTTAATAGTCTACTATCTAACGACATCTTTTTCTGTATTAAACTGCAGTGTTTCTAATAGTAAGGCTTCACCATGATGACAATGTAGTCAAGAATATTGCGAGGTACTAATTTACTATAAACATAGGAAGAATGTGATTTGCATATACAGCACTGCGTGAAGGTGAAAGCAGTATATTTCAAGTGAACTAGTACCGACTTTTTAATATTTATTCATAGGAAAA